CTTTCTATGTTTTGCTTTTGAAAACCTTTTTTCCACTTGAAGACTTTAACCAAAATAAGAATCTGAAAACTTTCAACAGAAACATACTACTTAATTTGTAAACTTTGCAAAATCTTCAACTAGAAAGCCTAAGACAATATATAACACTCGAAAGCCTACTTAATTATTTTTTGTATTTTTAAATACTACTCTTATAACAATAAAACTCTTTACACATCCAATATGTTCTTTAAAATACTATATGAAGTTCTAAAGAAAGTACAAGACATTTTAAAAATAGATGTAAGTATTGGGGTACACACGCGTCGCACCCTTAGAGAACTATCATTCGTCTTTTTTTCCTTAAAAAATTAACTTCATACTAGACAAAATAGTTACTTAATTATTTTTCTAATATTTAAGACTTCAAAATTTACTAAATTTTGTATATTAAATCATTTATTATTTGGACTGTTTAATACAATAAATTTGTAGAAAAAAAAAACAAAACCTAAAAATAACACTAAAAAGTTTGCCCAATTCCTTTTAGGTAGGTGTCCTTTTTGTCTCACATATTTTAGTATTATATAAAATTATAAATGTCTATTAGGTCAATTGAAGTTCATGAAAAAGTAGCATGTTTTCTTGCATGGGTTGATAGAACACGTTCATGAGTGACAAATTTAACTCCATGTAACAAAAAATATAGAGATAGAAAGGAGGATAAATAAGTGACGTTAATGGCAGGCTATAAATATATAGTTGTACAAAAAGTTAATCTTTTAGCAATTCCATTAGATATTTTTTAAAATAAATTAATGGAAAATATTTTTTTTTAATTACAAAAGTTTAAAACTATTGAGGGGAACTTATAGATGAAAATTTTCATCTTAGAAAACCTAAGATACAAATAGGAATTCCTTTAAATCTATTCAGTATTTGTATATAAAATGATATTTTCAATATTTCAATGATTGAGAACACATTTATGTGGCAATTTCTTTCGTATTGAGTTAGATATATAGAAGTAATATTTTTTTGTTCAAAAACTTACACTTTTAATCATAATTAACACTACGACAAACATAAAGTGCAAAGTTCGGATTTTATCATTCGTAAAATGGTAAAGCGTTTGATCTCTCCCTCTACTATTAACAATTAAAAATGTCCTTCGTTATACTATCCGGTCAAAAGACTCCTTACCGTTATACTATTAAACAAAAATACCCCTAATTAGACTGCATAGATACGTGGCGTAGCCTTAAAACTCAAGGCCATCCGGTTCTTTTAATAACCCATATTTTTCCAACCAACTCCGACCCACATAATTGACCCACCCTTCTAAAACTAAAAATATGGCTCAGAACCTAACCTAACTTAGTGGACCACTTTACATTTTCTCTTCTCTTTCACTCTCTCTAGAAGACTCCGCTGGACCTCAGACAAAAATTGTTGATTTCCATTGAAATGTTGTAAAGGTAATATTTTTCTCCATGAAAAGGCTTCATTTTTCTTTCTTTAACTCTTTTTTGCTCAATATTTTGTGTGTTTTCTGTTTTCTAAGGTTTTTTGTTTAGGGTTTTGATTTGTTGTGTTTAATCGACATCCATACATTTATTTTTGTACTTTCAATATTATATTCATATTTTTTATCTGCTTCAAGTGTTTGCATGATTTGTTATTGATATGGTCCCGATGTGAAGTTATTTTTGGTCCCGACATGATTTTGGTAGCTCGTTTAGGGTGTTTCTTGGTCCCAATATTCTGAGCTTTTTCTATTGTTTAATAGGTAAATTTGTCTCCAATTGTGTTACTTTCTGATTATAGTATTATGTGAGCAGGACCACCTTCAATGATTTTGTAGTTAATTTATTAAGGAGTGGGCCTGAAAGTGGACCTTTATGGTGTGTTCTCAAGATCTAAACTTCTTCTTTATTTATTAAGTGAAGTTGTTCCCAATTGTGTGACTTTTTGATATTAAAGTATTCTGTGAGTAGGACCACCTTCAATGGTGGTATGACAGAGCCGAATGTACTCTTTTATGTGTTGAAGGGGGACCCCTAGTCTTAGCTGATTTTTTACTTTAATTATTCCCTTTTTAGTTCTGCCTTTTTATTGGTTTCTTTATTCTTTGCTAACTAGACCTATTTGCTATATTTGTAGATTATTGGAGATGGTGTTAATTGATATAATATTCAATTATGGTGGTGATTGGGTTACACAGCCTGAGGTCTTATACACAAAGAAACTGGTACACACTTGGACAAGTTATGACTCAGACTTACTTTCATATATAGACATAGTGAATGAATATATAAATGAGCTAGGGTTTATAGGTGGGGTTAAGATCAAGACCTTAAATACAAAACATAATTGAGGTGTTGCTTATGATAACAATACAGTTGATTTCAGTACCATTGCACAGTATTTCAAGCTTAAATTACAGGATAATCCTAAGTATAAGGTAAAGGAGATAATGACAGATTTGAAGAGGATTTTTGAACTAAATATTAGTCATGGAAAGTATAAGAGAGCAAAAAGAATGGTCTTGGAAAGCTTAGATGGTAGTTTTAGTGATGAGTACAACAAAGTTGAAGCATATACAATTAAATTGAGAGATAGTAATCAGGCAGTGATGTGGTTATAAACCTTTCAAAGAATGCACTTGAAGAAGGAAAAAAGAGATTCTTGAGTATGTATATTTGCTTTCAAGTTTTAAAGATTGGTTTCAAGCTAGAGTTGAGACCTTTTACTGGTCTAGATGGCACTTTCTGAAAGGGAAAAACTAAGGGTCAACTGCTAGTGGTTGTTGGACAGGATTCACAGAACTATTTCTACCCTTTGGCTTGGGTAGTTGTTAATAAAGAGACAAAGAATACAAGGAACTGGTTCCTGCAGTTGCTTCAACATTCTCTGGACCTCAAGGATGGGGAAGGAATTACCTTTATATCAGACATGCAAAAGGTATTTATATGTCAATCTATTTCTGTCTTTTTCTATTTCTGTCCTATATTTCTGTTTTTTCTACATTTTGGTTTTTTAGTTCTATCCATGGTCTATATCTAATTTACTTCTATTCTGTCTTTAATTCTGTAAGTTTGTTATTCATGAAATAGTCTAAGTGACTGTATGTTTCTGTAACTATCATAGGGATTAATTGATGCTGTTAGAACTATCATTTCTCAATCACAACATAGATATTATGTTAGACATATTAAGGCTAACTAGTGCAAGATATACAATACTAGTGAAAGCAAAATATTACTTTGGTGGTGTGCATGGTCTACTTACGAGGAAGAATTCAAGGAACAACTGAAGAATTTAGGGGAATTAAATAAGGAAGCAACGGCTGATTTGTTGAAGTACCCGCCTCAGACTTGGTGTAGAGCTTATCTCGACACAATATGCAAGAATCAGTCAGTTGATAACAACTTGACTGAATCCTTCAAAAAGTGAATTTTGGAAGCAAGGCATAAGTCAATAATAAAGATGTTGGAGGACATTAGAATCAAAGTGATGAACATGTTAAGAGAACATGAACATGAAGTGAGGAGTTGGAGACATGAATTTAGTCCAAAAGGCATGGAATTGTACAGTGGGTACATGCAAATTGCTCAATCAGCTTGTAGAGTTAATGTTAATGGAGAAAATAGCTATGAAGTGTTAGAAGGTTCTGATAAGCATTGTGTGAATATGGCTGTGAAGAAGTGCACCTGTAGGCAGGGGGACCTTACAGGAATCCCATGTCCACATGTTATTAAAGTTGTACTTCACAACATGGGTAATCCTTTAACAGAGATGAACTGGTGGTATAGCAAGGAGGCATTTTTACTCACTTATAAACAAAAGTTGCAACCTGTAAGAGGAGAAATTTTTTGGAAGATTAATCCATCACAAGCAATGGAGCCACCTGAGTTGGTAAAGTTGGCTGGCAGGCCTAAAGTTAAGAGAGATAGACAGAAGGATGAGGCAATTAAAAGGCAAGGATTGTGGTCACAATCCAAAAAAGGAAGAGTCGTGACTTGTAGCAAATATGGAGAGACAACCCACAATGCTAGGACTTGTGGACAGGTAAAGTCTAATTTGAATATTTATTTACTGAAATTTGAACTTATTTTTTTTTTCTAACTTGGATTTGTTTTTCAGCAACCAAAGGGAAAGGGAAAACAACAAACAAAAAGGCCAAGAACTTTGATAGATGAAGAAACTGAAGAAGAAATTAATTGTTCAGTCCCTCCAATCAGTCAACCAAGTCAAGAAAGTAACTTTAGGTTCATGCCTACACCTGGAGTTAGGAGTATTGTCCAATCAAGCAAGGATCTGGAGATTGATCAAAATGTTGTGCTGAGGCCAAGAGTGGTATCAGAAATCAATACAAGACTTAAGATGAGACACAAGATACCAGTACCCATTGGCACAAGGTCAATCAACTTCATTGGTGATCACACTAGTGAGTGATCCGACAAACCTTCCATACTCACCACTATCTTTAAGCTGGAAAGGAAAATCTGCTACAACTACAAATCAGTTAGAAAAACAAGGGAACATAGGATTGGGAAGCTTAGGCCAAGGAAAGGAAAATGATGACCAAGCTGAACTTTTTTTGTTCTTTGTTGGGATGTATTAACTACAAACTTGCTGCAAACTTGTTAATATTGGTACTGGATTTGGATGTCATATTATGACTTAGTTGTGTAAGTTTTTGTTGTTAATATTTGACATCCATTCATCCATTAGGTAATCTTTTGGTGATATAACTACTGTGATAACAATACTTAAATGCTTATTGACTAGTATTTATTCCATCAATTGTCCCTTTCAAGTTTGCACGTATCTACATACTTAATTGCTGCGATCTTTTGGTCTTAATAGTGCTGCAGTTTTGAAATGATATATGTTTAGGTGTTTATTGACTAGAATTCACAATAACTTATTCCAGATAGTGCACTAAAACTGTGTTGAAATGATACAGTTTTTAAGTAATAATGCAATATGAAAAAAACATTACAAATCAGTAGGCCTTACACAAAGTAGAAATATTTTCATAACTTCATCAAAAATACATTTCAGTAGGCACTACACAATACATTTAAGTAGGCACTACACAAATTAGTAGGCACAATACACAATACACAAATCAGTAGGCACTACACAATACATTTAAGTAGGCACTACACAAATTAGTAGGCACAATACACAATACACAAATCAGTAGGCACTACACAATACATTTAAGTAGGCACTACACAAATTAGTAGGCACAATACACAATACACAAATCAGTAGGCACTACACAATACATTTCATCAACAACATTTAACTTCATCAAAAACAATAAGCACTAATTGGTCTTAACTAATGCATTACTTCATCATCATTGCCGTAAGAAAGCCAACAAATAATGAAAATGATATCAAAATAAATATCTTCATCTTCAACAATTTCTCTTCCATCTCCCTTGCTTTATTCACTTTAATATTTTTTACAGTCTCTAATACATCAACTTTTTCCAGCAATTTTTTCCTTTTAACTTTGCACGTATCTAACAACTGATTCAACATATTGATTGTCACATTAGCAATATCTAATTTACACTGCAACTTGTTGATTTCTATCAACGCTCTGTCCGGATAGGCTTCGTCTTACCATTCCCAACATACGCACGACTCATTCTAACAAAAACAACCAATTATGAAATTTGTATAATACTTTCAAATAACGAATCGCAAGCAAAATTAAAACTTACTTCAGGTTTAACACACTTATAGAATCTCCTTCCGGGATTTTGAGGTGTGATTGATTTGAAGTTCTTGGCAATCTCTCCACAATGGCACCTCCTCTTTGATGTAGCAGTTGAATCGGACATTGAACCCACCTTTGAGACTGAATGTTGAGTTTTGTAATTATGAATTTTGAGTAATAGAGAGGAGACGATTTTTCTCTGTTAAGGGGGACAAAATTAGGGTTCTGAGCCGTGTTTTTAGTTTTAGAAGGGTGAGTCAATTATATGGGTCGGAGCGGGTTAGGCAAATATGGGTTATTAAAAGAACCGGATGGCCTTGAGCTTTAAGGTTACGCCACGCGTCTATTCCGTCTAATTACGGGTATTTTTTTTTAATAGTGTAACGGTGAGGAGTCTTTTGACCCGATAATATAACGAAGGATATATTTAAACAATTGTTAATAGTAGAGGGACATATCAAACCCTTTACCATTTGTAAAAAGAATTTTTGTAGATAAAAATATAGTTATAATTAAAATTTTATATATGGTATGAGCTAATATTAATAATTTAAATCTCCAAATAATAAATTATTTCTTTTAATAATTAAAAAATAATTAAATATTTGAAAATTAAAAGAAATCAGAATATAAAACAAAATCAATTATAATATTAAGAATTAAATTGATAAAATATAAACTTTAAGAAATAAGGATGAAATAGTAGAAGCCAAAATGTCATAAAGAGATTTCGGGTGAGACACAATTTAAAATATTTGTATATCATATTATAAGATATGTATAATTATAAAATAATATACAACTAATTTAACAAAATTCATCATCCATGCATATTGAACACTATATACACGTGCAATGCCGTACACTAAAACTAGTTAATTCATAAATATAAGTGGAAGTTTTTAAATGAAAAAGTATACACGGGTGTAGGTTTAAGTGGCTCGAACATCATTAGCCTTCTAAATATAAAAAAGTATCATTAATTTTTTAAACAAACCAAAAAAATGTGCCACAAAAACAGATAAATAAAGTATTTAAAGATGATTTTAGACTAATCCAAATATTAGGGACCATTTCTGTGATTTCCTGCTGTTTCTTACATGGATCATTTCTTTCCTGAAGATTGATCTATCTGCTTGGCTCTTACCAGTCTTATTCCTTTCAGATTTCAAGATCCTCTTTAGTCTTTCTCTTCTCCACGTTGATCTCCGCCATCTGTCCCGATACAGGTATCTTGATTTGTATCCTATCTGTTTATTTATTTTATACATTTTTCCTCCATTCTTTTCAGCTAGCTTCAATTTCATCTCAATTTCAGTTAATTCACTGGATTATAGTATTGGGTCCTTAGATTTTTTATGAGAGAAATGAGAAATGCTAGTTCTGGGTTTAAATGAATGTGTTTTACAGATAAAGGTTGACTCTTGAAGTTTAAAAAAAAAAGTTTGTGGGGATCTTTACATAAATTTCCAGCCATATTCATTGTTTATTTTTTTCTAGCAGTATACATAGATTATACATTGATTACACGTAATAATTATAATACACGAATTATGCATATATTATACCTCCACAGGCTATTTTTAGTTTAAGCGGTTGGCTGAGCGGCTATTTGGGTTAATTCTTCTGAACGGCACGAGAGGAATGGGAAATGCCAATTTCTGGGTTTGAAAGAATGTTTTGGAGCTTTAGGTTTAGGTTGAGAAAAATGTTGAGTGTTGAAGTAGCTAAATGAACTTGCTGGAAATTGGGTTTTATTGTTTTTCGAGTAAAATGCTTGAATTATCATCGCCTTGCTTTTCTAAATCAATTTGTAAATGATAGTCCATTTGAATTAGTGAGTTTGAATTATACGGATTGTGCGAAAGCATTTGATGATCCAGTGTTTAAATGAATCTGTACAATGTGGGAATATCTATCTGTCATGAGTTTTGAAATATTTCTGTGGAATCTATACAGGATAAAGGAAACAAGACATTCCACTTTTACTTGATTCGCTAGAGGCTAAAATATTTCGGATCTGAAGAAGCTAGTCACAATGACAATTGAGAATGCTGAGCTCACGACGGAGCAGGTAATCTCTTGCGTGCATAAGCATCATCATGAATCTACAGTTTTGCACTAATGATTACTAGACTGTGTTTTCCACCATCATCATATTGAGCACTTACACGAGGATCTAGCTCTGTGGCTGTTAGTTGCTTTCTTTTCATCCATTGCCTTTCTTCTTCTACAAAGGTTAATAGCTTGTCTGTGTAAATAGAAACCGGAAAGAGCAATAAATGATTGATTAAGGTACGAGGGTTTTGTTAAAGGTTAATTGCTAGTTTCCTTGCAGTAGTACATTATTTAATAGAAAGTTCTCTATTCTTGGGATTTTTTATGTGAACTGTCTGTCACGGTTATCTTTCTTTTTTGTGACAATAACAATATGGCATCTTTNACTGTGTATTTCAGTGCAGCTCATATTGTGTGCTTTACTTTTTAAAGGTTTTGAGAAGGGATATTCTATGGGACACTTACATGACCACGAAGCTGATCACCGAAACTGGTCTTCAGCTGTTGAGGCGTTATGATAAAAAGGCTGAAAGTGACAAAGCTCAGTTGCTGGATGATGTAATGTTTCTGTCTTTTTTACTTAGCTATAATTTACATTTAATGGCCAGCCAATTCTATTTCAATTAACGTTTCTGCCTGATCTTTCTTGTATTTAGTTGGATTATCTAGAGAAGATCTTACATGTGGTAATATTGTGTTTGCTTTTATGTCAGCAGAACAGGGGTCAAAAGTCACTCATATTTGGGGGGAAAAGAAATTAAATATTCTCTAACGGATATAGTTGATATAATACTATCACTAACCTTTTCTTCACTAATCAGCTGTGGAATACACCTGATTCCTTCCTACTTTTGATTTGGTTCTGATTCAATGTCCTTTTTATATGTGCTTGGGTGTTTATTTATCAAAAGTTATTCATTGTTACAGGATGGTCCAGCTTATGTCAGTGTGTTTGTTACCATTTTACGAGATATCTTCAAGGAAGAAACTGTGGAATATGTTTTAGCTTTGATTGATGAAATGCTTACAGGTAACTGAGGGGCGTACCTTTTAAATCTCTTTTGATAGATCGACTAATCTATACCTTCTTTCTTGCAGCAAACCCAAGAAGAGCGAAATTATTCCATGACAACTCTTTTGCCAATGAAGACACTTATGAACCTTTCCTTAGGTAATGTTCTTAACATCTGTGTACTTTTGGTCCATAATTGTCGGAACAATCTGTATTTTACTTGAGCTTGTCTTTATTTATTTCTCTCCCTCTATAGCACCACTGATGTACTACCTCCCCCTTTCTCCATGCATTTGCATGTGTCGATCTATCCTTTTTCCTTCTTTAATACATTTATTCAACTTCACATGTATCAACTCGATGCCAGCTTAGGATATCACTGAATTGCTGTCGTCACATTTTGAGTTGCGGTTAGCAGGAGTTCATTTAGTTTTGTTTTATTTTACATATAGTCAGTAGCAAGTTATGTGTTCGAAATAGCAGATATTTGAAGGCAAAGTTTTTCTCCGTCTTTTTTTTGCCCCTTCATATCCAAAATATACAAAACCTGCTTTCCTTTTTATCTATTCCAATTGACGTGATCTTTCATATTTTTCTAAGTTCTCATTAGTTTGATAAGTTATATTGTCGGAGAAACTAAGCATTAGTCCTTTAGGATTTTAATTGCGGGATCTATTTTAGTGGTAATGTTTGTGATCAAGATTTTCTGAACTACGTGAAATATTAGGAGGTGACATTGTGGTGTCAACAAAATCACGAAATCAACTGTGCTTCAATTACTTGTATATGCATAGGTATTCCAAATCATTTGCTCCTGAAATTAAACAATGGGTTTATATGTTGTTCGGCTCTAACGGAGCAGGTATATACCTAAGGTGATGTTGAAAATGACAAATAGAAAAGCCAGATGCACATGCAGATAGCTCAATCGAAAAAATGAGACTTGTATGTTCTTCGAAAATTCCTTGCTTTGCCCATATGCAGTCTCTTATTTGCGATAGTTATCTTTTCTCACATTCCTTCTCTTTCTGAATGATGAGTTTATTTTCTTTCAGATTGCTTTGGAAAGGTAATTGGTTCATACAAGAGAAGAGCTGTAAGATTCTCTCTGTGATAGTGAGGTATTAAAGTCATTATCCGTTGGTGTCTATCATCTTGAGAGACCTAAGATTAGGATGATTTACAAAAAAAACTATTTCCTAAAGGCTCTCCTTTTCCTTTTTGTAATTCCAGTGCTAGGCCAAAAGTTCAGAATGGTGTTGATGCAAACGGAGATGCTGCCAGTTCAAAGAGGAAACTCACCACCGCTGAAGATGTTCTGAGAGGCCTGGTTGAGTGGCTATGCGCGCAGGTTCGTCTGCATTCCTACATTTTGCAATTCTATTTTGTTCCTCCACCACTCCCCCCCCCCCCCAGGGCAAAAAAAAGAATTACCAATTCGTCAGGTTGTTTTTCTAGACATTTCAAGGGGATTTGCTAGCGTTTATGGAGGTATAGAATTTTGGCATTAGTACTTTGGAAAACGGCTGAAAAGAAGAGAAGGATGAAGGAAAAGAGCTAGAACAGTATAAAATAAAACAAATTAAGTTATAATTCAATCTATTTGGGACAACCCTATTGAGTTGAAACATGAAAATTCTTGCTTCTGCTCAAGTACATTGTGAAGCCTAGGTTTAACCTCCTTCTCCACCTTGACATAAAATAGTTGAGAGAAGGTATTCGTTTTCTTGCTAACCTCTTTGTTGATTCCAATTTTAATGTGTTTCTCTTTTCAGTTGTCATGGTATTCTTTCTAACTAAAGTTAAGTCACCAAAGTAATGGAAAAGGAGCAATAATGAACGTTATGGGTTTATTCCCACTTGTTGCTATAATTAAATAACAATTTATTGGCACTGTATCGATCCTGATTTGTCCATATCACTGCAGCTGAGAAAGCCTTCTCATCCTAGCTGTAGCATTCCCGCTGCCATCAATTGCCTTGCAACTCTGTTGAAGGAACCTATTGTTCGATCTTCATTTGTTCAAGCTGACGGAGTGAAGCTGCTTGTTCCTTTAATTACACCAGCATCTACTCAGCAGTCCATTCAGGTGCATCTTTACCCTAATACTACCACATGTTAGACCAACTTCGTAAATTCTGTAATTATGTTATCAAAGTGCTGGGATGTGAGAGTTGAGATGGTTTGTCATCTAATTCATGTATCATGCAACTCCGAGAGTTTGTGGTAGAAAGTTCTATGCTGCCATCTTTAACCTGCTTAACTTTCCAAACATTGCTAACCTTTTCTTTTTGTGTTGAAGCAGTTCCTCTACAAATTTGTCTTAAGATGTAATGACTTTCTGCCCTTCTTTTAAAACAGCTTCTCTACGAGACATGCCTATGCGTCTGGCTTTTGTCTTACTATGAACCTGCAATTGAGTACTTGGCTACTTCTAGGGCCCTACCTCGATTGACAGAAGTTGTTAAAGGTTCGACAAAGGAGAAGGTGAGTGACTTTTCCACGCTAAGTGTTATAATAACCTGTGTATTCGCTCTGTTTCTGACTATAATCTTTCTATTTGGGCGTGCGAAGAGAGGTTCTACTTCGCCAACTAATATTCTACTGTACATTCATAAGTTTGAAGTTTTAACAGTCCTGCTTCTATACTTCCTAACTTCAAATAAACAAAAAAAAAAAAAAAAAAAAAAAAAAAAAAAAACCCAATGTAATCCCACATCTGGGGTCTGGGGAGGGTAGTGTGTACGCAGACCTTACCCTCACTTTGAAGGTAGAGAGGTTGTTTCCAATAGACCCTCGGCTCACGAAAGACGAAAAGAAAAACAGTAGCACCAAGCAGTAACTAACTTCAAATTAAGTTGAACTTATTTGGGCATTCTAGCAAAGACAATCCTATTTTGGTGGATATTTATCAAGGGTTGCGTACGATAGACCCTTGTGATCCGGCCCTTCCCCGGACCCCGTGCATAGCGGGAGCTTGCTTCCCTTTATTTATCGAGTGGTTGGGGGGGGGGGGGGGAATAAAAGATGCTTATCCTCTACAACAATCCTATTTTGGTGGATAGTTTGCTTAATCTGTTGAAATTTTTTCAATTTATCTATCTAATAAGTATCAAGTCGAGCAGAATGATGTCTTGTCTCATCTTTGTTCATGGCATTTTGATGTTTCGATGGCTGCAGGTCGTCAGGGTTGTTATCTTGACTCTTAGGAATTTGCTTTCCAAAGGGACATTTGGTGCTCAGATGGTAGACGTGGGAGTGCTGCAAATTGTACAGAACCTGAAAGCGCAGGCTTGGAGTGATGAGGTGATACAACCATTTTTTGGTTTTTAGGTCGATAATTATTTTGTCTTATATAAGAAGCAAATTGTAAAAAGTTCTGGCAACGTTGAAATAGATAAAATTGACGTCACTGCTCATTGTATGGAGAGATGGTCACTAAATATTTACTGTGTCCCCTTATTTCCTTAATAGACAATACTTAATCATGTTAATATGTTTATTTGTAATCTCGGTAGGACCTTTTGGATGCTCTGAATCAACTTGAAGAAGGATTGAAGGACAACATTAAAAAATTGAGTTCATACGACAAGTACAAGCAGGAAGTCCTACTTGGCAATCTTGATTGGTCTCCTATGCATAAAGATCCTCTATTCTGGAAGGAGAATATAAATAATTTCGAGGAGAATGGATTCCAGGTAATGCCTGTAGTTTTTAACATTCTTTCATAATTTAAACGCTGTAATATACTGTTCATGTTGTGCCTTTTTGTAGTAAAATAAAAATCTTGTAATAAATTCAGGTTAACTGCCTGACCAAAATTGTTAACCTGAATAGGGCTGTATTCTGGGCCGGGCCCGGGCCTTCATGGGCCAAACGGGCCGGGCTTCGTGGGCCTGGGCTCTGGCGGTCCCGGGCTTCGTGGGCTCAACGGGTGGA